GAGATACGAAATCAACTTTACAAGTGGTACATACTGAACTGAACGACCTACAGTGATACAAAAGGAATGCAGAACCAATTCAGTAATTGTAGTAGAAAGCATTTGATAGATACTGATATAGGAGGCCAGCTTGGCAAAATTGTGTCTGTAAACTAAACATACTGTTTACATCATGTATCAAAACACGAAGGTCACATTAATAGTAGTATTGTCCAGTCTTGTGCAGCCATCAGCTATATCCAGGCTGACGTCACTTTAGTCTTGTATTTGCGTCCGATTCGGTCACATACCGGAGTTAATTATTGGTGACTCTATCGCTGCCACAGGTCTCATACCGGAGTTAATGGTGCCTCTATCGCTGCCACAGGTGTGTCGAAGTAGAAAAAGCCCTGGAGGAGAAAATTATATTACCTTAATATTATTATAACTAGGACATTCAACACAGCAACGTTAATTGGAGTGGCCGATGGATTTGAATACCGCAAAATTTGACACTTTATTTTCATTCTGTTGAGTCATTGTCCATCAAAAATATCAACGGAGAAGAGATGCTGTTCCAATAACTCTAACATAGTTCAGTCCCCACCGCCTAGTGTTTGTTTGTTTGTTTGTGATCCCCATTACTGTTATGCTACATTGACACTTTTCTTCTTGGAGTCCAAATAACACAACATAATCGTACTAGTGGTGTCTTAACCTTGTACTAAGCAAATTTGCCAAGAACTAGACTAATATTTGTATCAATTAATAATAATATCTAAACCCAATACAATCTCATAGTAACGTACTGCATTGTAGAGACCTTAAAGGTAATCAGGTTAAGAAGCAGAAATATCTCACGTTGGGATCCGCCTTCAGTAGTTTCCTGACAGTTGTGGCGTCCGGCCTGGACTTCTCGTTAAACTTCCAGCACTTCAGCATCAGCTGGTATCTGGAGGAAGATCAGCATTTTTACTTTTTTGCTGTTACTTTACAACCAAAATTCTAGGTCTCCGGTATTCTAATAAACCCATTCACGTTTGACACTTAAACGTATCTAGAAAATTGTAAGTCTGTTATCCACATCTGTTGCAGTTGNCATGTATCAAAACACGAAGGTCACATTAATAGTAGTATTGTCCAGTCTTGTGCAGCCATCAGCTATATCCAGGCTGACGTCACTTTAGTCTTGTATTTGCGTCCGATTCGGTCACATACCGGAGTTAATTATTGGTGACTCTATCGCTGCCACAGGTCTCATACCGGAGTTAATGGTGCCTCTATCGCTGCCACAGGTGTGTCGAAGTAGAAAAAGCCCTGGAGGAGAAAATTATATTACCTTAATATTATTATAACTAGGACATTCAACACAGCAACGTTAATTGGAGTGGCCGATGGATTTGAATACCGCAAATTTGACACTTTATTTTCATTCTGTTGAGTCATTGTCCATCAAAAATATCAACGGAGAAGAGATGCTGTTCCAATAACTCTAACATAGTTCAGTCCCCACTGCCTAGTGTTTGTTTGTTTGTTTGTGATCCCCATTACTGTTATGCTACATTTACACTTTTCTTCCTGGAGTCCAAATAACACAACATAATCGTACTAGTGGTGTCTTAACCTTGTACTAAGCAAATTTGCCAAGAACTAGACTAATATTTGTATCAATTAATAATAATATCTAAACCCAATACAATCTCATAGTAACGTACTGCATTGTAGAGACCTTAAAGGTAATCAGGTTAAGAAGCAGAAATATCTCACGTTGGGATCCGCCTTCAGTAGTTTCCTGACAGTTGTGGCGTCCGGCCTGGACTTCTCGTTAAACTTCCAGCACTTCAGCATCAGCTGGTATCTGGAGGAAGATCAGCATTTTTACTTTTTTGCTGTTACTTTACAACCAAAATTCTAGGTCTCCGGTATTCTAATAAACCCATTCACGTTTGACACTTAAACGTATCTAGAAAATTGTAAGTCTGTTATCCACATCTGTTGCAGTTGCCGAGTATACTTCATCTTAAACGCAACAACACAGACTCGGCAGCTAAAACAAGTTCGAATGCGAGGCCAGGAATCTGACGTCAGACTTTAATTGTACTTACGCTTAGAAAATTTCCTGTATCTCAATCTACAAACACAGGCGCACCTTAGAATTGATTCTTGTACTGATTGATTTTTCCCTCAGGAAACATCCCGGGCTTACCTTTCTTCTGTACACAACTGAGGCCTAGGGAGTCTGAAGTGGTTTTGCAGAGCATCATATATTCTGCCTGCCCCCTCCATCCCAGGATACGGCGTGCGGCCCAGCTGCGCCACTTCCCACAACAGAACCCCGAAGGACCAGCTGGAAGTGCATATTTCATAGTGTATAAGATTGGAAAGAGTTCACATTAGCATAATTATTAAATCGAGATGACTGATTATATAAATACGTTTGTTTCCACTAAATGTTAGTGTCTTCTTTAAAGGTCAATGTTGAATACTCACACATCACTCTTGTGTGTGAACCTAGCCTCGTTCTTCAGGCCCTCTGGCGCCATCCACTTCAGCGGCAGCAGGTCGTGGCCCTGCATGGAGGAACAGGAAAGAACAGCTGCTTCAAGTTCTATCCAAAGCCGGCTGTGACAAGAATACAAGA